GGCCGCGCCCCCGCGCCCATGGCGCTCGTGCCTAGCGCCCGCTACGTGAGCGCCCCGAGCCCGGCGCACCCGCAGCCCTTCAGCTCCTGGAACGACTACCTGGGGCTCGCCACGCTCATCACCAAGGCGGTGGACGGCGAGCCGCGCTTCGCCTGCACCCGCGGCGGGGACGGCGGCGGCTCCCCGCCCTCCTCTTCCTCTTCGTCCTGCTGCTCCCCCCATGCGGGGACCGGACTCGGGACGCTGGGGCCGGTGCTGGGGCCGCCTGACTACGATGAGGACGACGACGACGACGACAGCGACGAGCCGGGGTCCCGAGGCCGCTACCTGGGGGGCGCGCTGGAGCTGCGTGCGCTGGAGCTGCGCGCGGGCCCCGCGGAGGCCGGGATACTAGAGGAGCGCTTCGCCGAGCTGAACCCGTTCGCGGGCCGCGCCGCCGCGGTACTGCTGGGCTGTGCGCCAGTCGCCACAACGGCCGAGGCGACGCCGCGCGAGGATCGGGCCCCAGCGTGGGCTTCCGTGCCCCGGCTGCAGGCGGCCTCCGGAGCGGCCGCAGCCCGACTACTGAAGCCGGAGCTGCAGGTGTGCGTGTTCTGCCGGAACAACAAGGAGGCGGTGGCGCTCTACACCACCCACATCCTTAAGGGTCCCGACGGGCGAGTGCTGTGCCCCGTGCTGCGCCGCTACACGTGCCCCCTGTGCGGCGCCAGCGGCGACAACGCGCACACCATCAAGTACTGCCCGCTCTCCAAAGTGCCGCCGCCGCCCGCCGCGCGCCCGCCGCCGCGCGGTACCAGGGACAGCCTGCCTGGCAAGAAGCTGCGCTGAGCGCCTGGGCTGGGGTCTCCCGCACCTGATGCGCCAGGGTCGCCTGCAGCTGTTTTGGTCTCGCACTGTCTCCCCCTTGCTGTTGGGAAAGCGAGGACCTCAGGAGCTAGCTCAACTTGGGACCTTGTGGTGGTTTGTTTTTCAGAAGCAGCTGCCTTGTGTGGAATATTTTGCTGTTGAGCAGTTGAGGCCGACACTAAAAATCTTGATTTATCTTTAGTTTCTAGTTTGCGCACATGCACAACGGCAGAGGCTGGGTGTGTATTCCATTGACTTAAATATGGCAACGGAGAGGAGCTATTTACTGTATACGTCGATCTATTTTAGATGCACATCAGTATGAACTGTCTCACTTTAATCTTGGATGTTTCGTTTTACAATGGAGGCACTTTACTAGGTCTAGAATATTTTTTTAATAGCCTCTAAATTGAGCTGAAGTTGGGAGATTTTATGGAATGTTGGCAAAATGACCATGGTTTGATGCAGTTAGTATTTTAGTTGTCCTTAGTTACCAGGTTAAGCAAGCCCTTGGTGGCTGCAGCGTTTGAGCAGTGAAGGTTTTTAGTACTTTCCATTGTTTGGGTGCGTATTCCCTCCTTGTGGCTTGTTTCTGTCCTAGCTGGAGGTGTGAAGTACAAGGTATGTAGCAACTAGAGCACAGCTCCTTAATTTTTATGTACCAGATCTCTTACAACTAGCAATTAGCCTTTTCCACCTTTAAAAACTGTGCCAAGTCATAATCGTGTATACACTTGGAAATGGTGCTGTTTGAAAAATTGTGTATTTATACAGTAATAGTATATGAATTCATTTATCTCCCGTAACTCCTCCCTCCTTAGCATTTTCTCTACATACCCACCGTCCCGTTTTTAGTTAACAATCATTTGTGATACCAAGATCAAAAGGGAGAAAGGCAAGGAAGCAATGTTAGCTCACCACAACTTGCTCCATTTCAGGGTTCCTAAGTAATAAAGGAAAGCCCATTCCAGCTGTTGCTTCTCACATTAAAACAGACGGGAGGCTAATGTAATTAATAATTTGCATTCAAGAAGGTCCCACTGTGGCCTGTCTGGCTTCAAGCATATGAGGTACAGCAAGATAAACACTGAAGGGGTACTAACCTGTTGGGGGAAGGCGGCAAGGAGCATTAGTGAAGATACTGGTCTGCTTCTGAAACACCATCAAGTTACCAGTGAAATTAAAACCGATCCTTAGGCAAAGGTTTCTAACCCCTGCGTTACTTCTCAGCACTGTTTTTAATCCACCGTACTAAACACTATGGCATGTGGCTGCCGACCATCAGGACAGATGGAGACAAAAACGGAAGTGAACTAAGAATCCATCAAAAGTGTACCAACACCACTATCTGCAAGTACCTGCAAGAGATTTAGTCTATGTATACAGCTTCCAGCAGGAGGATTTAGCTGGGGTATTAGGAGTTAAGACTGCTTTAATATTAAACAGCTAACTTCCTCCACAGTAAATTGGCTTGATATGAAACACTCATTTGAAGGTGTAACAGAAGATGAGATAAGTAATACTGGGTAGCTATTCTAAAGCCTTTTTGGTCAGAGGTAAGATCAATCAGAATCAAGGCAAGTGATGGGACAGGTTATGTTCTTAGGAAGCAAATCCACACCTGCTAGTCTTACATCCTCAGACCAGAGAACTACAGATTTGACTGACCCTAAGCTTGCTTAGGTAGTCTAGTTAAAACCACATTACATTTTTGGGGTAGGGAGGCCCAACATACTGTCTAGTTTAAATCAGCCTTGAGATGAGTGTAATTTCCTGTTACTTCCACTGCTCTGTTCTACCTTTTCAAAGGGGTTACTATTAACAAATCTGTAAATTCTTCATGCCAAACAGACTAGATGGATGGCAGGATCAATTTCAGCTATTCTGACATTTTTTTAGATTCAAATTAAAGACTGTTTGTGAGATTCAGGGATAATACCATAGGCACCTGATAAAAACTTGCTATTCTGACATCACTGTTTTACTAGAAATGGGAACCCTGAGCATGGAGCTTACTTGCAGTCCTAAAGTCAGAACACTGAGAGAGATCCTGCATCAACCAATCGGACATTCTATCACCCCACCCTATGTCATATTTGCCTCAACTTTCCAACTAACACATTTTGAAATACTGAGCTAAAATGTTATTACTAGTTAATTTTTCTAGAGTTTTACAGAAAGTAGGCTTAACTCCATTCATTTAAAAGTAATTCCCAAAGGTTGGGCGTGGTGGCACACGTCTGTTATCCCGGCACTCGAGAGGCTGAGGCAGGAGGATCTTTGCAAGTTGGGAGACCAGCCTGGGCTACAAAGTGAGCTCAAGGCCAGCCTGAATTGCACAGCAAGACCCTGTCTCAAAAAGACAAAAAAAAAGGTAATTCCTGGAATTCTATGTGAGACATTTTGCAAAACTAGTATAAAGAAACCCAAAGTTCAAAACATAAAACATAAAAACATAACAAAATTACTGATGTGACAAGTTGTAAGAACATGCAGCTATTTTGCTAAGTAACAAACCAGTACGTGAAATCAAGACTGTTTACCAAGGGTGCCGAGACTGTCTCCACCTGTTTGTTTCTGTTCTTGTATTTCCAATGGCTGGCATGCCCTTCCCCCAAGTCCTTTTGGAAGTTGCAGTGGTAGTTGATTTGATTTAAACAATTTTTCAATTTACTGAACCAAAACTTCTTAGTTACTCCACAAATATACCTAGGCAAAGAAGTTTGCTAGTCCTCTCACTGTATGAGAAACATTTCCTCCAGTGTCCTATATTTCAATTATAAAAGCATGCACTGCTCAAAGTACAGTCAAAATGCCTTTGGTAAAAAGCACCATCAATTTTTTATCTTAACATGCTGCACAGATGCAACTTCTGGCAGGCCTAGAGGGATGTAGGGCCTTTTCCTGGTCCCATGATGCCTCCACCACCCGCCCCCATCTGTATTAACAGCAATGCTCTTATTTTAAAAAGGAGAAGCCTTGGGAACATGGGGACCACCTTTGCCTAGGCTGCTTGTTCAGTTTTCTTTTAATATTTGTTAATAGATAACTAGGGAAATGGGGTTGGGACACCTAGGTAATGGAAACAAGAGCTATCACAAAGCAACAGCATCAGACTGTTCTGCCCTCCCTGCGCTCTAGCTTCTAATACCCAGGACAAGGAAAACTTAGGAGAACAGAATGTCTAAGAAACGGAACAAGCAGAAAGGCTGGGTTTGCAGACTAGCCTTGAAGCCCACTATACATGTCTCTGTATCTAAAGAGGACTGATTACAAGAACTGTCTGGTGGAACTTACCTGTGATGTCACATGTACAGTTCTGTATGCTAAGAACAAATTCCAGGTTACTGGTCCAAATATAGTCTTTGAACTAGAATTTTTACTTAATGAAAGGAAAGGCCCTCTCCCCACAAAGACTTTTCATAACTTCTATATGTGTGAAATACCGCAACTTAAGAAGTATTTAAAAGTGATTTGATCCTTGGTAACATCAAACAAAACCTCTGACCTAAACGCTAAATCTACCAGGAACTCTCACCAAGGTGGTACCTCACACTTGTACATGAATCTAGAGGACAGCATTACAAGAAAACTAGGAATTTCATTAATAAAAAGGATGCTTTAGAGGAAACACCCTACCTGTATTTGCTTTCTGTTACTGTATTTAGGTTATTTTATTTGATGCTGACACAGATAAGTTTAATGGCACTGATAAAAATTCAACTGGATATGCAAACTTACTATGATAAACAAAATGCTCTGTAACCACAAATCAACACTAAAATTCTGTGAGTTTTTTATTTATCACTGAAGAAAGAAAACACAGCAGCAAGTTCTGTGTTGGCTTCAATACGATCAAATAGTTAATCTGTAACGTAACTACTACACTCTAAAATTGAAGTCAACACAGTCATTACTACAAATTACTTGTTGAAAGACTATCCTGAAGAGAAAGAAAATCAGGAAAAAGAATTTAAACAATTTCTCCAAACCACATTTATAAATATTGACATATTTAAAATGTTTGAAAGGCATAAATTCTCCATTGATGGAAAGCAGTTTCCTATTGGCAACAGAAAAAAACTCAGCAATAGTTTACCAAATGTTTTAAGTGTAAAAGCTGTATTGTTTCAGGGTTTGCACTTGAGCAGTACTGTCATAATAAAGACTGCACACTGCTTTATACTCACCTCTTAAGTAAAATCTACAGAAAATCCCACTGAATCCAATGTTTACTGCACTTATAGTGAACCTAAAAACTTTCTAAATTTAGTTAATAGTAAATACCTCAAAATACCTAAAGAAGTTTATGTTTCAATTGCTAATGGTGTGAAAACTGTTTCAGATCCACTGGTTTAAAGAGTCTTCAAATACATATTCTTTAATAGAGCCTTACACCTCATTCCAAACTAATATCTGATATTTCAAAAATCAAAAGAAAAAAAAAGATCTGTTTTATACCAAGATACAGGTATTAATACCTGATGGGTTCACATTTTAAATTTATTTGTTTTTCTTTTCGTTTTTGTAAACAAATGATTGATGAAATAATGCAACACCTTAAATTCCAGAAAATGGCATGGTTTCCCACCCTCCTGTGGATAGGGTGCATGATCAATCTATTATATAGGATTAATACAAGTTCATGCTTTTTGTGTTATGGTGAAACGTTAAAGAATCCAATTTAGATTGAAGTACAAGTATGGTAATCTTTGAATGCAATCAAACCTATGTAAGACACAAGAGTTTGCATCCACGATCTTGAGACCTAACGTCGTACCGTGGTCCACCCATCTTCATCAGTCTCATTCTTAGTGCGGCGGAGAGACTCCCGATCTTTATCAGCTCTCCAGGAGGCCTTCTCTTTTTCACCTTCCCTTTCTCGGTCTCGGTCTCTTTCTCTTTCTCGGTCTCTTTCCCTTTCTCGGTCTCGGTCTCTTTCTCGGTCTCTTGACAGAGCTGGGGGAGGAACACGACGAGGGGGATCCCGCTCTTCCGCTCGGTCATCTTTCCTGTCATCAGCACGTCTCCAAGAGCTTACTAAAAAGTTCAATTTAGTAAATTGAAAGAAGCATAAGTTTGCATTTGCTCAAACTAATCACAACCTAAGCTAACCTCTACCTCAAATAACTAAGAAATCTTTTACTGAGTAACAATACAGAACCACAACTAAACTCTTAAATAACTAAACTACTAACTAAACTAAATACTGAACTAAAACAAAACAAAAACACCTCTATACGTTTAAGTTATTTGTACAGTTCCTGAAACCATCTTTAACACATTTGTGATGGGGCTGTAATTCATGTCTCACTGCCAGGGGGCTCTGATTTGAATTTGATTGTCCTGCCAGCTTGAGATACCAGTGGTACATGCACAACTATGTGAAAAAAAGGGTGCTACAGTGGCTGCAATAAAAGTGAACGTGTTAGGACATTTTGTGCAATGTCCACAAATCAGATATACATATAATGTGTTAAAGATATTAATGAACATAAAATAATTTAATGAAAATTTTGATGGTTATCTAGTTTTTAATTGGTATGAATAGTATTAATATTTCTATCTGGACAGTAATTATCCAAATTCAAGCAACTAACTAGATTATACTTTTTATTAATTTTATTAGTAAAAAGACCAATAAAAGTGATTAGATCTATTTGTTCTACCAATGGTACAAGCTACCCAATGGGACAGTCACGCATGTACCACCAGTGGCTCAAGCTAGTGAGAACATGTTAAAATAATGCACAGGCTTACATGTAACTCAAAATTTGAAAATAAGCAGAAATCATTGGCCTATGGAAATATTCTAACAGTTATAAAATCTTTAAAACAAGATGACAAAAATCTAGCCAACGAAAAATTTTAAACTAAAAGGTATACTGTCACATGCTTATAATCCTAGCAGCACTCAGGAGGCCGAGGCTGAAGGATCATCCTGAGTTTGAGGCCAGCCTGGAATAGTGA